TCAGTTTTGAATTAAATACTGATGCAAAGGAAATATATTGTATATATTCAAAGATTCTTCATTGATTCTTCATTGAACTGGTATACCAAATCCTGTAATATGTTATCTAGCAAAGGGACATATAGGTTAAGTCTGTAATGATTTTCGTTGTCAGACGTAACTATGTTCGGTCTGTTCATTTGTCTGCTTGTTATTCTTGGTACAGTCAGTTCAATACCCAGGGTTTTCATGCGAATTCATTATAGATGCGAATAATATTCTGAAGTGTTTTTCAGGAGTTTGCGCGTCTTTCTTGTACAAACTGAAATAATATTTCCTATGAGTTTGACAGCGGTATTGTTTGTCAATTGTTTTTGATTGTAAATCTTACTCGGGTTGATTGATAAAGCTAATATATCACACAAACACTTTAGTGATACGATAAATTGGGTATAAGTAATGGAAGTCTTCAAGATTCCGCTTTTGAAGAGCTTCGCGGTCTTTCCAATTTGATATAATATTGTAGAGGTACTCTACAATTTTCGAGAATTGCTCTCAAATTGGAGCACAGAATCAAGTCTCTCGGCCATAGCGTTTCGCACATACTATGATTTGGTATCCGTCTAGTTTTTCTTTTTAATGCTGTACTTCTTTTAGCGGATGCTGTGAAGAACGCAATACTTCCTTCATTACTACCTACAGCATTTCTTAATGCTTGGACACTGCTACTTTCTGAAATCGAAAGATTCTAGGGCATGATTGCGCATGGGCTTTTTAGAGCATTTGGCAAACATTTTTGCAATTCCATTACAGTGCCCCTTTGTTCACCGACCATAAGTTACACGTATCAGTACCAATGTGCCGCCCATAGTTTGCTGCCTTTATCGCTCGCCCTCGAACCATAACTGGGAATGAACTACTCGAATACCTCGCCGTCCAGATCGACTTCCTGAACATCAATCACCCCCGCTTTAGAGGTAGTTCTTCTCGGTGATTTCAATGCCCATAATGAGCTTTGGTTGAGCTCAAATAAGACCGATGCAGCAGGTAGTGCAGTCGAAGCGTTTCGCTCCTTCTCAAGGTCTGACCCAGCTGGTAACGAGCTACTACGTTTTCCCGCGTCTCGTCACACGCCAGTAGCCTGCTGGATCTTCCTTTCTGACCCAGGGCGCATCCTGCCCCTTACAGCACTGCTGTCCTGTCCCCCTGGGTAACTCAGATCACGGTGTTGTGGAGGTTAGGTTTCGGTCAGAAGCCGCTGTGGCAGCAGAAACTCGCACAGGCCGCAAAACTTGGCATTACGGACATGCCGACTGGGAGGGGCTCAGAGACTTCTTCTCTAGCTTTCCTTGGAGAGATGTCTGTTTCACTGACGCGGATGCGTCGACTGTCTGTTCTTCAATAACCGAAATTATCCACGTCGGAATGGAGGAATACATCCCTCACACAGTGAAAGTTCCTAAACCAGGGTCCAACGGCTGGTTCAACAAATCGTGTGACACTGCTCGCCAGCAGAAGATCAAGGCCCACAGAACCTACTTACAAAACCCCACTGTAGAGAACAGACAAGCCGACGTCGAGTCCAGAAACAAATATAACGAAGCGGTTCGCAATGCCAAAAACCAGCATGATATAAAAGTTAGGCACAGGGTAATGTCGCAGCGCAATGGCAGTCGGTCTTTCTGGACGCTGGCCAAGCAGATTGAAAAGAACTTCTCACACAGTAGCCTTCCACCACTTACGTGTCAGGATGGAACTATTGTATTCGACTCAAAGGCCAAGGCGGAAGTGCTAGCCAAGATCTTTGCTGCCAACTCCACCATGGACGCCCCCACAACGCCCAAGTGCCGTCAATTCAAAGGGTTCCCCACACTATGCGGGAGGTAACATTCAGGCATAAGACCGTAAGACGAGTGCTCTTGTCGCTCGACATCAACAAAGCTTCTGGTCCGGACTTGATTCCTGCCATTGTACTGAAGAGATGTGCAGCGGAGCTTGCTCCAGTTCTTTCGCGTCTCTTCCAGATATCTTATGAATCCGGCACCTTCCCAGAAAACTGGAAATTTGCTCATGTACAGCCCATCCCAAAAAAAGGATCTAAAACCGACCCTTACAACTACAGGCCTATAGCTCTGCTTTCTGTTATAAGTAAAGTGATGGAGAGGTGCATAAATCGCGAGCTTCTGGACTACCTCGAACGTCACAGCTTGATTAGCGACAGGCAGTACGGTTTCCGGCACCAACGATCCACAGGGGACCTCCTAGCTTACGTCACGCAACTGTGGAGTAAACTCATCCAGTCTCATGGTGAGGCTCATGTCGTTGCTCTTGACATCACGAAAGCGTTCGATCAGCTGTGGCACGCTGCCCTCTTAAGCAAACTTCCATCCTACGGCCTCCCAGAAAAGCTTTGCAGATGGGTGGCTGACTTTATCTCTGGCCGCAAGATATCCGTCGTAATTGACGGATTCTCCTCTTCATCCCACAACGTCAACGCGGGTGTTCCCCAGGGATCGGTCTTGGCTCCAACACTGTTTCTCTTACATATCAACGACCTCCTTTCCTGCACGATCAACCCAATCCACAGCTTCGCTGATGACAGCACTCTACATGCAGGAATTCAGAGTGACAAGCCGATCTCTGCCGCTGAGCTGGAAAAAAGAAGACTAGCGACGACTTCTTCTCTGACAAGAGACCTGGAGGCTATCACTGCTTGGGGACGCAACAATCTTGTACAGTTCAATGCTTCCAAAACACAGTACTGTACTTTGACGAACAAAAAGCGTCCTAGCGCTCATACAGTTTCGATGGACGGTCGAGTTCTACCAAAGAGCCATTCATTTCGGCTGGTCGGAGTCCAGATCACCGAGGAA